TCCCACACCCAAGATCGAATTAAATTAAAGTCACGACGAAACACGGCCTTCAGAGCCAGATAATTAAAGGAAAACAAGGAACCAGCAAGTGATCAAGTGGAAAAGTGGAGTATCCGACCTCAAACGTGGTATTTAGACGAAAGTGCACCCAACACTCATGTTTAGTATTTATTATCATTAAATATAAATTTTAAAGGCATTCGTCGACCAAGGTCAGTTTATATTGTATACTTATTTAATTTAAACCTAGTAAATACTTATTTTGTTTCCAATATACATTATCAGATTACAAGCATTGTACGTATTGCCTGTTACGATTTGTTCACAAAGAATATAATGTAAAAAAATGGCGGTCAGTTGTCTAAATTGAAAATATAAAAAAAATGTTCTAAGTTTAGATCCTTATTTCAACGCAAAACTGTATCTACTTACATTAAATGCTATTAACTTAGTAATCGCTAGACTTTAAGTGTTGTTATGTGTTGGTATTTACGTTAACATTAAATTCTTACGTATTGCAAAAAGCAACCACGCTGTTACGTAACCTAATATTGTTACCATCGACGATTCCAGGAACTGACACCAACATTCCATAATGGATAAGGATCTCATTAGAAAAAGAGCGAGCTTTAAAGGGAGATTGACCGCCTTCTCGAACTACGTAAACAACTTGGACGCGTCGTCACTGAGCCCGGGGGAGTTGAACGAGTTGCATAATAAGTAATTAATCCACAGTACGGATTACAAAGTACGGGTTGCATATCCAAGTACGGATCGTGGACCATCACGCACCGTCTCCGAGTTCACCGTCAGGTAGTGGAACCTTCCTCAGAGAAGACCCCCACGCGTCACGGATCGAACAGTCCCGAGTTAAGTACCCGGAGCACACAGGTTTTTAAAGACCAGAGAACTTCCCTGTGCCGCGAACCCACTCCCCGCGAGTTGTCATAAATAGTATATAATATATATATTTTTTAATTCAATTATTGTTATTATTATTTTTTATGTAATTAATTACCAATAAAACAGTATATTAGTATATTAACAATAAAACAGTTGCAATCTTTGTCGTTGAATCCTTTCTTTTGTACCCGCCGTCAGGCGGACATGACACGATCACGGGGAATCTGCCGCAACACACAGTATCACCTGGAGGGTTGCCGTTTGAGAACGTTGCACTCGATTATGCAGGTCCTATACAGGCCGTTACACGGCAAGGTCGTGGATGTAAAGTAACAAAGGTTTACATTGCCGTTTTTGTATATTGCGTCACCAAAGCGATATCTTTAGAATTAGTGGGTGATTTAACGAGCAATACTTTTATTCCGGCTTTAAGGAAATTTATTTCGGGTCGAGAAAAACCGACAAATATTTATTCTGACAATGGTACCTCGTTGTTGACCCGCATAACGAAATTTCAAAATTAATCAAGGCGAGTTGTGACGGTTTAACTGATACCATGGCTAGTGATGGCGTGTTTTTTCATTTTATTTCGGCTTATTCGCCACACTTTGCTGACCTAGTGGAAGCTGGTGTCAAGTCCACTAAACATCATTTAGTTGGAGTATTGGGACAATGTAATTTAACGTACGAAGAACTAACGACCACACTGGTCCAGATTGAAGCTCTGCTGAATTCCAGACCACTCACTCCACTGTCTTCGAGTCCAGAGGATCTGACGCCGCACACCTCTGGACATTTCCTGATTGGGCGACCACTCGTTTCCCTACCGTCGCCTGAGCTCCGAGATCGCTCCATGAACACATTAACGAGATTTCATTGTGTTGAGCAGCTCCGCCAGCATTTTTGTTCACGTTGGAGCAAGGAATACATATGCGAGCTTCAGATTAGAAGGAAATAGCGTGCAAGCAAGGGATCACTTAAACTTGACTCCCTTGTGCTGATAAAGGAGGAGAATTTGCCACCACTTAAATGGAGAATGGATCGTATCGTCGAAGTGCATCCTGGCACTGATGGAGTTACCAGAGTGGCCAACATTAAAACCGCTGCTGGAATGGTGCGACGCTCATTCAGCAAGAACTGCCCGCTGCCGATCCTGACACTGTTGGTTGAAACAGTCCCTTCAACGCATGGGGGCATGTCGTGTCTGGCACCGGTCTTATTTAACAATCATTCAATCATTGTTCATAAAGTGGCAACATTTTAGTTTTTATTGTATTAGGATTTATTAATTTTTTTATTACAACACTGTTCATTACCACGCCGCCGTTTAATTTTGAACTCCCACACCCATGATCGAATTAAATTAAAGTCACGCCGAAACAAACACCCGAAGGAATTTCGTATTTTATGTAACCTACTCATCGGCACATCAAGCTTGTGTTTGTTCCTAGTATCTCTATTATGTATGTCAAACTTTTTAGGAAATCCCTCAATATGTTTACGAACATACATCAAATTTTCAAAAATGTATTGGGATGGCATTATGAGAACTTTAATTTCTTTAAATTTTTCCCTCAGGAATTCCTTTGGGTGCATGTTATAAATAGCACGTATAGCTCTTTTCTGCAGAATAAATATCATTTCTACATCTACCACATTGCCTCATAGTAAAATGCCATAGGGCATAACACTGTGGAAGTAACTAAAATAAACTAAACAAAGCGTGTCCGTGTTTGTTAACCTTCTAATTTTTACTGCGTATGCTGCAGAGCTGAGCTTACTCGCTAATTTATGAATACTAGAGGTCCCGCAGTAGTCGAAATTCGACTATAATTAATTGGAATTGTAAGTTTGTACACTATTATGATTGTATTTTATACTTCTATAATCACAAATTTCGCTATGGCTACTCTATAAAAAAATATTAATAAAGACAAACAATATTTAATCTATTCTCAATTTGACCACAGACGTCAAGAACAAAAGTTTGACAATAAATAGTATGCATGCGTGTGTGCGTCAAATACATGGTATGTAGTATGTGTAATGTTTTCTTTATTGATTTAATGTATCTTTTATGTATTATTTAAAAAATAAATTAGTATTGTGCACTTCTTCTCTATATTCTCTATAAGTGTGGAAAATTTCATACTCCTCCGTCCGCGCAATTTTCGTAAAAAGAGATACAAAATTTTTGCTTCACGTATTAATATATAGATGAGGTCCCCACAGCACTTTCAGTGGGGACCTCATATACCCCCTCGAGGACACGCCAGCCACGGACACGGCGCGCGGCGGACGTAGACGCGAACGATACGTCCACGTGTGATTCCCCATTCCACCGCACGCAAGTCGCGATTGAACCTCTGCTTAGAAGACAGGCCGGTCGGGAAAGCCCGCTCCGACAGGAACTCGCCGCGCGAGTTCGTTCCGGGGAGCCCCACGCAATGACCCAACGCCTCGAGCCCGCCCAGGAAACGGTCGAACTTGGCGAGGCGTACGTAGATCCTCTGGCCGGCTGTTTCACACGAAGCCGGCTCTTCCTCTGTCTTCTTCTTTTTTCCGCCACGCCTCCTGTTTGTGGAGGAGGGTGAGGAAAGACAGGCCGGAGCCCCGGCCCGATTATCGGCCCGCCGTTTTGCTGCGTCACACAACACGCAGTGCAGTGCGGCGGCGGTACAGGAGGCTGCCTTGTGTCCGGGCTGACCGCAACGGAACCAAAGTCCGTTGCGATCCACAGCCGCCGGGCACCTGGTGAGGCCGTGCCCGGTGCCAAAGCACCATAGGGATCGCCATGGACGTGCCTCCTGCAGCTGCACGTGGGTTATCACCCAACTTACGCGCAGCCTTCCCGGCGAGTCGGTAGGCTGACCTTGTGGAGGCGTGGCCAAGAGGGTGGCCGCCTACACAGAGCAACGCGTCCACACAGTGAAGTTCCCAGAGTAACAACTCCGGAGCTCCCCCACCTTCACCTGCGTGAGGGCGCAATTACCCTGCGATGCAATGGCGGAAGCCACTTTGTCCCTGGCGGGTCCGTTGACTCCATCTCCTTTGTGATGGAGCGAGCTAATCGCGTAACCTCTCCTTCTCTTACGTAACCCGCATCTTTACGGCGGCAGGGACCGGTCCGGACCGAAGCGGTGACAGCCGGTTCACCGTAGGTCATCGTCAAGTTCTGGCCACGTCCACAACCTTTGTTGGGTGACGCTGCAGCATCTACCAATCCTTCTTCAATTGCCAGAAATTTAACAGGCACAGGTTCAACCTTCGAGGAGTCGGAAGGAGCTAGAGTTGCTGGTCGTTTGACTGACTTCCGCTTCCTCCGATCAGGTCCTCGGGTCAGTCTGGTTCCGGCTGACTGGTGGCGGCTCTCGACCGCTCGACGCGCAGCCCCTTGCGGAGCTTCGTGTTGAGCGCAGTGAAAAGGCGCTATCACAGTGCTCGGGGTGCACGATTGGGACCCTCTACCTTTCGCAACTCGTGCTGCCACCTCCTTCCTGTTGGCAATTGTTGCGCCCCCCCCCATTATGCTTGACGGCGTTAACGATATTTATGTTATATAGCACGTGCAATAGGAGTGACTCACACAAGCCAGGCGCGCCGGCCGTGTCGTTCCACTCGTAAACAACAGCTGCAACAGAAGTGACTCATAAGCCAGCTGCGCCGGCTAGTATAAAAAGGCGGAACGTGCCTTGAAATGAACATTCGTTGGACTGCGCTTGCCTGGTGCACTTACTATATCCTTGTTACGTTGTGTGATTCAGTGACTGTTGTACGTACTGGTTAAAGTTGGACAAGTGTTAAAGTGAATTGTTAAGATAACATATTGTTGATTAAATCAGGAATCAAATAGTGACATCGTTTTACTTGGTGTTCAACAAGATAATATCTACCCTCAAGCTTACATCAGAAGTGGGATCAGGACTCTACTCTCACTGGCGTGACGTGTTTGAACATGTTCGAAGTACAGCAAAAAAAACATGATGCAGATCAGAATACTAGTAGTGGTACGCCACAAGAGCGTGAATGCAGCATACGTAAGTCGTGTAATAACGTCTCTGTTACCTCGATGGAAGATCTGAGCCACGAAGAAATCGTCACATNGCTCGATGATCGGCCCGCCGCTTCGCCGCGTCGCACAACACGCAGTGTGGCGTGGCGGCGCTGCAAGAGGCTGCCTTGTGCCCAGCCTGACCGCAACGGAAGCAAAGTCCGCTGCGATCCACAGCCGATGGGCACTTGGCGAGGCCGTGACCGGTGCCAAAACACCGGAGGCATCGCCATGGACGTGCCTCCTGCAACTGCACGTGGGCTATCACCCAGCCCACGCGCAGCCTCCCCGGCGAGTCGGCGGGCCGACCTTGTGGAGGCGTGGCCAAAAGAGTGGCCACCTGCACAGGGCAACGCGCCCACACAGTGAAAGATCCAGAGTAACAACTCCGAGGCTCCCCCACTTTCACTTGTGCGAGGGCGCAGTTGCCCTGCGACGCAATAGCGGCGGCCACTTCCTCCTTAGTGGCACATTCATCCAGGCCCGTCACTTTGATTTCCGCCATCTTGACATGCCTATCTATGCGCACCACTTCCGGGTTCGGCAGAATTTCGCGAAGCCGGGCTGCCAGTCTGTCTGCGGCCGCGCCGGAGTCAGCACTAGGACATACCAACAGCCGAGCCCCGCTGGCCGTCTGCCGGACTCGGAGTCCCCCTTCCACACCTATGGCGTCAACGTCGACGCTACCGCGCGCCCGAGCCATCACCTCCCCATAGGTGAGGCCCTTTTCCTTGCCAGCCGGCAGCAGTTCTAATACGACCGCTGCCGACCGTGGGGCGCGCGGTTTCTTCACCTTGCGCCCTTTTCTCCCTCCCCCAGTCGTCGCTCGACCCATTGCTTGAGGGGAGGCGACCGCAGGGGTGGTTCGGGTGCTTGGCGCTGCAGCCTTCCTTCGTCCCCGCCTCACCACCGTGTTCCAGGCTTCATCCATGTTGGACGGAGCAGGAGGTAATGGGCGGGGCTGGGGGATCGGCGCCGTCTCAGCGGCATTCACGCCCCTCTCTCGCTTTTTGCGGCTTCTGCCAGGCCCCACCTTGGCAGGCTGGGGCGGGGCAGAAGCAGCGGCCTGGGGCGGGGCAGAAGCAGCGGCTTGGGGCCTCGTGGGCTGGGCGGGCGTTCGTCGTCCAGCGGGCTTGGCCGGTGCACGAGAGCTGCGCACCGTTCGTGTGGCGGGTGCCATACGCACCTTGGCTGCAGCCCCCGTGGGCGCTGGTACAACCGCGGCTGCTGTCGCATGTGTGGGCAAAGGCCGCTCGTGCGCCAGTGGAGGCCTTGCGCGTTCCACCGTAGACGTGCGGGCCTCCATTATCGCGAGACACCTCTTTAATTCTTCTATCTCGCGGTCTTTATCCGTTGCTTCCTGCGGTGAGCGCACGGGTGGCGGAGAGGCCGAGCTGCCCTGGCATCCCACGACATCGTCAAGGACCACACGCATCCTGGCCATCTCCTCCCGCACCCGAGCACTCTCCGCACGAAGCTCCGCGTTTTCTACCTGCACGGAAGTGTATAGTGCCTGTAGTTGCTCCATTTGCAACCGCAGGCTAATCACTTCATCTGTGCTTGTTCGCTTTAGGAGATCGTCCAGTCGTGTCTCCACGGCGGTGGCCACGCGGTTCAGGGCTTGCACATATGTGCCCTTTAACGAGCCCGATTTGGTCGCCACCGCGGAGACAATCTCCTTCGAGACTACGAATGTCCCCCGTGGATCCGTAGCCTCCATTTCTTTGATGAGGGAGCGGGATAGTCGCTCAACCTCACCTTCCCTCACATGAGCTGCATCTCTGCGGCGGGAGGCACTGGTCCGCACCGGGGTGGTGACAACCGGTTCGCCGTAGGTCACCGTCAAATTCCGTGTAGGTTCGCATCCAATGGGGGGTAACGCCGCAGCATTCACCAGCCCTTCCTCGACTGCCAGGAACTTGGCAGGTGCGGGTTCCACCTCCGAGGACTCGGAGGGAGCGGGAGCCGCCGGTCGTTTGACCGACTTCCGCTTCCTTCGAGCTCTCGGGTCAGCCTGGTTCCGACTGACGAAAAGTCCGGCGCTGTCGTGGACGAAAAGTGGCGACTCTCGACCGCTCGACGCGCAGCCCCTTGCGGAGCTTTGGGTCGAGCGCAGTGAGAGCGCACTGTCACAGCGCTCGGGTTGCACGAGTGGGATCCTCTCCCTTTCGCGGCTCGTGCTGCCGCCGCCTTCCTCTTGGCAATTGTTGCCCCCCCCAGAATACGAGGGGCAGCGTGCCTCCGATTGCTCAGAGGCACGGAGGGATTCTCCTCCCGCTGAGCGAGAGGTACCCTCCTGGGGTAATATCTGTTTCCAATTGTCCATTTTCATTTTTTCCTTTGTTATTTAACCAGGGGTTTGGTCCCCTGGGATCGAGTGATGCCCTCGGGACTGGACTCCCTCCAGCCATTCATCCCTTCGCCAGGCATCGGAGCTTGGGATTGGGGTATTTTTTATAGAGGTTTACGTCCTCGCGACCCCGTGCCCTGCGGCAGCGGTCACCGCCCCCCACTCAGTGGGGATTACGGGTTGGCCGGTCGCCCACCGAATGCCCAGGGCAACTCGGTAGACCACCGCCCGACGCTCGAAACGAGCAACCACGGAGCCACGCCGGCGAACCGGTACCCCCCATATCTGAGGGGCGCTCCCCTGTAGCCGAAGCCGGGGACATGGCAACCAGCGGCCAGCAGTCACAGAAATGCAACGCCGGCTCACTTCCACGACAACGGGGCACAGGGTGCCACCGCTCACGGCATGCCGGCAAACCGGTGCCATCGGAAGCTGCACTCTCCAGAAGGAGCACTCTTCACTTAGTGAAGAGTGTGGAGGGCGCCGACCTTCCGCTCCTCCTAGTGCTGATTTGGTCCGCGTCATCCGATCTCTTTCGTTGCAAAGCCTAACTAAANAAGAAGTGTTTCCGGACTCTACGGGAGTTACACGCATTGCACGGGTTAAGACAGCGATCGGATCGTATTTGCGTCCCGTGGTGCGACTCTGCCCACTACCCAACCAGTAGCTCATTTAGATTTTTCATATTATTTAGGTTAGTTGTATATAGACATAGTATAGATTCTTAATTCTTGTAGGAACATAGCGTAATAGTAGATAAACGTAGCGTACTTATTTGAATTTATTGTTATTCGTTTGTTAGATAATACACTTTTTAGTTTTTTAGTTAGATAATACTTTGAAGGCGTCCCTTCAAGCCCGGGGGAATGGTTGCGCTGGTTTAAAACTTAGTTAGTTTTAGGTTTCGAAAAATAGCAACATTTTTAATTTGGTTTTGCAAATCCTGTCCCATCCCTCTCCGGCACTTTACCTACGGACGCGTGCGAGCGAGATCGTGTGGTGACATCGAGACGAAAAAATATGGCTGAACAACCGCGCGCGCGCTTCGTGTCTTTGTTATGTTAAATACGTAAATAAGTGAAATCGTTGGTGTTTCTCATCGCGAAGTGGTACGAGTCTGCAGTAAGGACTACATAAAGGTATTGTGCATCCTTCCTTTAACGCAGAACTGCCGCTTCTTATCGTTTCTTCCCGCAGTCTGTGTCCTTCATTTGCAACGACCAAATTTCAAATATTTTCGTAGTTTGCTTATCTCGCGTCTACACATAATAATATTTTTTAAATTTTTAACTCGCTTTTATTAGCTTGATGACATAGGAATATAATATCAAAATAATTTTAATTGACTTCGCACCGTGCCATCATCTGAACAATTCACACGCGCGTCGAGGACCGTTAACGATATAATAATTTAACTTTGGTAATATATCCTTGATCAGGATAATGTATTATATTATTTAAATGTTTAGATTACATAATAATATGTTCTTTTATCTAAAATGGCTCTGGATTATTAAATAATTATTTATTATCAATGGAATTTAGTTATCTAATTACCAAGTAGCTCGAGCGAATGTACCAGGATCGCATAAGACTGTAAGAGCTTTCACTGACTGTTCGATAAGGATTTGTGACGTAGCGAGAATCGTCGCGTGCTATCGATAAATTCCGTGACTCACCTTCGACTATCATCAATAAAATTTTATCTGCAGATTAAAACATATTTGTATGTAATATATTATGTACATACAGCTCATTATTGTAATGGAAATATTATTTTTGCTTTCGTAGGAAGAGGGAGTTGGGTCTAGAGTCGGATGGTATGAAGCAAAAATGTTTGTCCATCCGTTCCGACAAATTTCTGATGCGCACTTCTGTGGACCTCGGATTTATTTGTTCGTCTTCTGAAGTTTCTATCAATATCCGCATAAAATCTAGAAATCTGAAAGAAAGTGTTACCCCTTGTACTAGGACACCATGATTGCAAAGAAGTTGTTTTGTATGCGATAACAATGTTATTTACCTAGTAACGCTGAATCAAATACTTTTATATCATACGATACACACCGCTGTCACGTTGCTATAGGTATTTTTTTATCACAAATAAACTATAATAATAGTTGGGAGGATTTTTTTTAGGAGAAATTTTGGAATTCCCCGAATGTCATGAGTAATAAATACAAAATATACTCGCGGTGATGTGTAAATGTGTAGTGTCGGTGAATTCACTCAGACTCTTCCACAAAATCTGAAATGTCGGAAATATTAATGAGATTATTAAACGCGCAAGATTAAACTGTTTTTTTGGAGTTTACTCCTTTAGAATCGATTTACATATATAGGCCCGGGGTATGAAAATTATGGGGACCAAAATCGTACTAGCATGTCACACGAAATGCGTTATGCGCATGTCACACGAAATGCGCGCCGGGCTGCTGCGCCGGCAGTCCGCCACAAAGCCTCGTACTGATCGCGCGTTTCTCTCATTATTGTATTTTCATATATTTGTTAGTCGTTTGTTTTGTGTCTCGTTAATTTGTTAATAATCTGTAGTGTATCGTGTTGTCGTAATATAGAACTATTTCTCGTATTGTTTCGTTTAATTTTTTATATCCAGTAAACTCCAGTCGTGCGTCGGAGCGGACACACACACTTTTTTTTTTATATTCACGACTGTCGAAAACCCATGGAAATAGTTAGTATTTGTTGTCTAGAATAGCACCACTCCATCGCTAATGACTGTGTCAGTTAAATTATAAATAAATACACATCGACATATAATTAATAATTAGATTATTAAGAAAACAAATCTAATTAATAAATAAGTTTTAAAATTTCGCTCCCAAAGCAGTAGATATTTGACAAAATTACCAGGACTTTATGAGTTGACAAGAATTAGATGAGTGCCTTCTTATTTTTAATACAGTTTTGAATTTAGAATTTACACGCTTGTGACTCCGCCCCTTTGTGATCCAATGAAACCTTCTTGAAGGCGTAGGAATTCAAAAAAAAAGAAACAAAGAACGTAATTTTGAATTTGGAACCTACACGCGCCCCATTCGCGTTCCCGCTTCTCTACGCTCAACACGCAAAATATTAATACCTAAATTAATCTTGTTTTTTCATTTTCGTAATACCAGATCTGTCTTTAATGTTGTTAAGTGCTCGTCTCCCGCCCCAAAAAACATTGAGGAATGCATCGAGGTGAGACAGGAGTATTGTATTCTTCGATTGAGGCTGTGTTTTCCGATTAAAATCTCCACCGCCTGCGCCTAAGTTGAAGCGTTTTTGACGCCACACCTGGTAGGCTTGTTGAAAAAATATCGATACATCGAAATATCGATATTATTTTTTCAATGTATCGATATTTTTGAGCGGTATTTTATACTTCGATACATCGATGTATCGATATAAAATTCCAAGTATCGAAAAGGTATGAAAGTCGATATTATTTTCAGACCAACAAACATTTATATGTTCCAGGGATATTTTTTTATGAAATTTTGTGATATTTGATGAAAATTCATGAAATTTCATGAAACTTCCTGAAATTTTATGAAAATTTCACAAAATTTTATGAACTTATACTATTGAAATTTTATAAAATTTCATAGTTTCATAAAATGTCATAAAATGTCATTAAAAATGATGTCTATTGATTAGCACGAATATTCTCTGTCAAGTCATACCGATATATCGATATTTTTTAATAAAAATATTAATATCGATATTGATATTTTCAAAAAATATCCATACGATATATATCGATCCTTTATTACATTTCGGACATCCCTAACACCTAGAATAAGAGATCTTCTCTTGCAGGAGCGCGGGAACGCGATGGCCTTCGCCCTCGGCGGGTTGGCGTTCGGCGTGCTAATCGGCCCACCCTTCGGCGGTTTCATGTATCAGTTCTTCGGGAAGACGGCGCCTTTTCTCTTACTCGCACTACTTGCTTTATTAGATGGAGGTACTTGTGTGCTTAGTGCGAGTTATTTAACGATCTCGATAGCGTTTTTTTTTTTTTTCCTACCTAAGCTGATAGCCTTGAGAGGCTATTTAAGCGTAACTGTGGCTAGTAGGTGAGCTCACGGGGCTCAAACCTGACGACGATGCTAACACGAACCCTAGCAAGAGCCGTGCTTCGCAGAATCTACCACCGCATCGGAAGCGCGACCCACTGAGAAGATCCGGCGAGAAACTCAGTGGGCTGTGTCTGGGAGTTAATTTACTCGTCGAGCCCTTCGTCGCAAGCGACGGGTTCGACGAGAACGGTGACCGGTGCTTGAAGTACCTAGAAGCACCGTCAGTGGATCGGGAGGATCCGAGATGACGTGTTTTGGGCGAGGTCGACTGCTTTCCATTCTTTCCGCAGGATCGGGAATGTAGTTACCGGCGGCCACGATGAGAGGGTTCTCGTGTCGTGCTGCTTTATCGAAGTGGCTCGATAGCGTAAAAGTTAGCTCATATTTGTATGGAATGGGATCGTTTGCGTACGTTTGCCGCTAGGGGCGCTGTTCCGACTGCATACAAAATTGGGTTAACTTTTACGCTATCGAGAACGTTAAAAAACTCGCATTAAGCACACTGACCACAAAAATATACAAAGCTTTCGAACTAAACTTTACGAACAGCTTACAAATATCAGCAGATTATTTGTATGAACAAATCGTATAGACTTGTTAAAATATCTGCGAACAACCTCTCGCGTATTTATGTGCTCCTGGTACTTAAAAGAAAGTCTTCAAAGGGTTTTCTTCTTTTTTTTCTTGTTTTTTAAGAGCCCATCTAGTGTTAAGTGGTCATCGGAGCCCATGGACATTACTAACTGAATGCCGTTTCCCGTTTTGAGACATGAGGTCTAAATCTCAATTGTATATATAGTATAATTTCTATAAGCCGGAACGCATAGATATGCAGGCAGGTCTTTACTAGTTTTTTTTATTGCTTAGATGGGTGGACGAGCTCACAGCCCACCTGGCGTTAAGTGGTTACCGGAGCCCATAGACAGACATCTACGTAAATGCCGCCACCCACCTCGAGACATGAGTTGTAAAGATCTCAATTTTAACAGTACAACTGCTGCCCCACTCTTCAAATCGAATCTCATTACTGCTTCACGGCAGAAATAGGCGAGGCGGTGGTACCTACCCGTGCGGATTCATAAGACGTCCTATCACCATTAAAAGCTGTAATCATTAAACAGCTGAGGTTCAGCGGGTGCCTGAAAGCGTTGTTGACCACTAACCATCAGCTAGGCCATATACAAGTCTTCTTTGAAGGCAAGTCCAAGGTATTTGAGACCAGCGCTTAGCTCAAGCTTTCGTTTTCATTCCAGGTCTTCAACTGATGGTTCTTCAACCAGGATTCACGAGGACAGAGAATGCAGCACCGTCTCTGAAGCAGCTCCTAACTGATAAATACATTCTGATTGCAGCTGGTATATCTCTTCGGTAGACTAAATAGCCCTGGGCGTTCCTAGTTCCAAAGGTGGATTTGGGTGGTGGAGGGTCAAGGGGAACCAGCCTGTTGCCTTATGAACACGCGTTTAATCATGTTATCTTATCTCATTTCATTTAATATCATCATCGGTTCATTAATGTCTCAAATTAATCATTTTCATTTAATTTAATTTAATTTCATTTCACTCCACCTATCATTTTTCATAAAAATAAGAATATAAATTCAAATAAGATATGACCTAGAGGTCTTAGTTACCAGGTCATAAAATTTCTTAAAAAAGATGGCATCTTTCAAGCCAGTAAAATTTATTAACAAAAAAAAAAGAAGATAGCCTCTCAATTTATGGCCAGGTTTTTAAAGAAAATTGACAATTCGTTCAGATTATATAATCTCTATTGCACGTAAATTGACAGAAATTAAAATGGCGGCAAAAATAATTTAGTTTTCTGTGAACAACGCCCTCAGTAGAGAAGGTTGTAAAACCAATTACTCATGGAGACAATAGATTCGGGTTTTTTTTTTAAAGTAAATTTTAACTCGCGACAGATTCGTTACGGCTAGAGAGAAAAGATACAATTTAGGACGAGCGAGAGTGAGAAGAATAGACAGAGCGTCTCGCGAACCACTCGACCGTGGAGAGGGAGAGAGGACAAAGCGAGTTAGGACGTTTCTCTTATACACAGCATTCCCTATTAAAAGAGGAATTTGATTTAAGGGTGAAAAATTCAGAAAACCACAATAATTTTTTTTCATATGAACCTTGTTAATTCTTCTAGGAGCCATCACCTTTGCAAACCTCGGTATAGCGATGCTAGAGTCAAGTCTACCGATCTGGATGGCGGACACAATGCAAGCCCAGCGGTGGGAGCAGGGCGTGGCCTTCCTGCCCGCCAGCATCAGCTATTTAATAGGTGCTTTTGAAGTGATAACTTCATAAGGGAGGGTAAACCGCTTTGTTACGTGACGCGTTACGGCGCCGTCCTGTCTGGCGTCCCTTTCTCTCACGTATACGGCAGCGGTACTGCGAACGTATTTAATTCCTAACTATTTATATATCTTTTTCAGTTTTGTTACAATCTTCCTTATATTATCATATTAATATACATAAAATTTCAGTAATAACCTAAGCTTTTCTCAAATTAAACAATTTTAATATTAAATAGTTCAACTTAGATTAGTTTATGTTATCACTTATGTCTGGCATGGCGTCCCGATACGCACATTATTTTAAAAACTAGTAATTACATTTTTTAATATTACGTTTGGGATTTATTTGAGTAAAAATTTCACCTCACAGGTACCTTTAAGAAATTTCTTTCCAAAATATCTTTGTTATTACAAAGAGAAAAAGAGAGAGATGGAAGACAGAAAGAGACAGAAGAAAGAAAAAAGTTTCGTTTATTTCTGTAATAGGAGCAGTGTCAACTTTTAATTGTCTCAATTCGTTTTATTACTAGGTACCAATATATTCGGACCCCTCGGGCACGCTATGGGTCGTTGGAAAGCGGCTTGCACCGGTTTGATTGGAATCGGAGTTTGTTTAATGTTGGTGAGCGCCATTTTGATATACACAATAATAATAACTAGAGGTCAGGCAGTAGTCGAAATTCGACTATAACTATTGGAATTGTAAGTTTGTACACTATTATGATTGTATTTTATACTCCTATAATCACAAATTTCACCAAGACTTTCACTATAAAAAATATTAACAAAGGCAAACAATATTTAATCTATTCTCAATTGGACAACAGACGTCAAGAACAAAAGTTTGACAATAAATAGTATGTATAGTATTGATTTAATGTATATTTTATGCATTATTTTTAAAAAAATATTAGCATTGTGCATTTCTTCTCTATATTCTGTATAAGTGTGGAAAATTTCATACTCCTCCGTCGGTGCAATTTTCGTAAAAAGGGATACAATGGTTTTGCTTCACGTATTAATATATAGATAATAATAATAATTTAATATTTAAGAAGTTTACTGTCAAGCGACCTTTAATACTTACAGCGTTTACATATAAGCATTTTTCTGAACGCAGTAAATTTATCGATTGACTACCAAATAGTTTCGTAATGACGTCAGAGCTCTGACCGTTTATGAGAGCCTAGTACATGTCTTCTCAGACTCTAAAGACATAAAAAAAAACTCTTTCCAATCATGAAACCTTGGTACGTGTGATCTCTAATTCTAAATTTTACATCCTTACAACGATGAATCTCTTAGAAATGATGCGATCCTAGTACATGCTGTAAGTTTTAAGGATTGTTTTTGTTGTTTTTCCATATTAAAAAAAAAACACTTGTGGCACTCGGGGACTGCCGCAGTAAAGCTACATATTGTATGCCATTTTTTATCAACTTATTATGCAATTATAATTAGACAATAATAATTTAATACCTATTAAGACAATGATAAAAGCAAAATATTAACTGTCCCCTTCACACTCATAAGCTAGACCGCGCGAGAGAGAGATGGGCAGACTTTTCATGATGCACATTCAGTGCGACGTCACGCCGCGCGCTTATTCACACACTACACAAGCGCAACGTGTGAATGTGTTGAAACGTGGTAGGCGGAGTGGGGATGTTAGGTTTTATTTTCGTTACGGAATTTCTTGATTCGATCCCCGCGCTCAAAGCCCGCGATAAAAGCTATGCAATAGCTTAAAAACAGAGAGAAAATCCCCAGAACCCTTATAAGTAAATAACACGGTACTTCTGCTGCGAGATATTTGTCTAAATTTATTTAGAAATAGACATTATATATACTAGGTAAACAAAATACATACAAATATAGTTGTGGTGTTTCATTCGGAAAAAAATATCTCCTTAATGTAATTAATAGCTTCTAGTCTCATATAACACGGTTTCGCAAAACACGGACTTTGTAGGACCGTAACTACCGTGTTTTACGTAAGAGCTACGTGCAATAGAATTTACTTCCACGCGCTCATGTTACCCTGGTACATCAGATCCCGATGGCTCGCAAGCTGGAGCACCTGATCATCCCCAACGCTGGTCTCGGCTTCGCCATCGGCATGGTGGACTCGTCCATGATGCCGGAACTGGGTTTCCTGGTGGACATCCGCCACGCTGCCGTCTATGGATCGGTTTACGCCATCGGAGACACAGCCTTCTGCTTGGGATACGCTGTCGGTAAAAAATCTAATCTGTTCTCTAAACAAATAAATAAATAAATAATAATAATAATAATGAACCAACGATATAATAAATCGAGATGAACTTTTAAAGTTTATTTTAAAATTAAATATATGGTTTAAAGATTAACAACGGTATATTAAAAAAATCTGTAACTGTAAAAAAAAAAAAACTCCTAGGAAAAGAAGTTCTTTTTTTTATTGCTTAAATGGGTGAACGAGCTCACAGCCCACCTGGTGTTAAGTGGTTACTGGAGCCCATAGAAATCTACAACGTAAATGCGCCACCCATCTTGAGACATAATTCTAAGGTCTGGATTCTAAGGTCTCAAGTATAGTTACAACGGCTGCCCTACCCTTCAAACCGAAACGCATTACTGCTTCACGGCAGAACTAGGCAGGGTGGTGGTACCTATCCGCGCGGACTCACAAGAGGTCCTACCACCAGTAATTACGCAAATTACAATTTTGCGGGTTTGATTTTTATTACACGATGTTATTCCTTCACCATGGAAGTCAATCGTGAACATTTGTTGAGTACGTATTTCATTAGAAAAATTGGTACCATTAGAAAATAGATAAATATATTATTATTAGAAAAATACACATTTCATTTCATTATAGCGTTTTATTGCAACAGATTAAATATTAGGTAAAAACCCAAAAAAAAAAATGGCTATTATGAAACGATAATTGTACCAGGGTACAATAACGCTAGAAGGACTAGGTAATATTTCGGCAAAAATTCTAATTACACTTATTTGAGGGACGTTGTTCTAAATACAAATTTGATTCGCCAAACAAACAGGTCCTGCGTTCTCTGGGCTCCTGGTAAACGCGATCGGCTTAGAATGGATGCTGGTCATCATTGCGCTGACGACCTTCGCTTATGCTCCTCTCTTGATGATGCTGAGGTCTCCTCCGAGGAATGAAGACAATACGGTAATGATTCACCAATTTTTCAAAAACCTTTCCTTAATTTTATTGGTACAATCTTAACGCCTGACTGCTTCGCGGACGAAATCTGTGAGAATGTGGTGCCTATCTGTGCGGGATTACTGAAATCACATGATTTTCAAATTTAAACTTAAAACAAATAATAAATATCGGATATTATAAAACTCTATTTCCTAGTTATTTTTAGTTTTTTAAAACTAGCCTTTGCGCTCAACTTTGCTCGACTATTAGAACCAAAAAATCTCTGTGAAATTTACTGTGTCCTTATTTCGTGTATTGCTTACAACATATTAGTAAAAGATTTCGACAAATAAACACATGCAATCGTTGCAAACTTTCATATTTGTAAATATACTAGCGACCTGCCCTCGCATCGCTTCCCGAATTGTAAATAATTATTGTTAACTGATTTTTCTTTTAAATAAATCTAGTTCTGACAGTAAAAAACACAATAAAAATAACGTACCAAACAAAAAATCTAATATTTCCTGTTCGCATATTCATGGTTCGCTATTTTGGCGATAATCGCTTACAAATAAAAGATAGATAGATATAAGTTTTCGATGTGTTTTTTGTAGAACTATTTAAGATAAACATTTCCATTATACATTATATAGGTGTAACTCCAAGGGTTTTTGCGGATTACGCCAAAATAGTTCGCAGATGGCAGATTTTTTCCCTTCTTATTATTATACACACGGAATGGATAAATAAGGTATTATTATTATTATTTATCTATTCCGTGATTATACACTAGCTTTTGCCCGCGACTCCGTTCGCGTGGAATAGTTATTTTGGCATAATTCTAAGTTTTACCCCCCACTTCATTTACGTAGAAAGTGAAAATATTTTGAAACATTCTTTATTGGTGCTCCACTTGCATCGATCTTACCGTGATGTTAAAATATAGCCTATAGCCTTCCTCAGTAAATGGGCTATCTAACGCTGAAAGAATTTTTCAAATCGGACCAGTAGTTCCTGAGATTAATGCGTTCAAACAAACAAACTCTTTAGCTTGATAATATTATTATAGATAATACTTATCGTTATATTTTGGGTATCTTTATAAATTATAGCCTATATGTTATTGGCGCGGCGCCTGACTCGTTTAGCACAGCAAGCTAGCAAAAACATTTACTACTACCGGCACCGCGCGCTGACAGCATTCAACAACATTCTTAATATACCTCACAATAATCATTATTGGCACAAGATCCTTCCTTTTCGAGAAAGGTCACATTCATACATTCATCGACGTGCAATCAGAACCAAAGCATTGTAAATTGTAATTAAAGCAAGTAGCAAGAATTCAATTGTTTTTATTATAGAAGCAATAAAGCCACAGTGTCTCACGTAGACAGTTATTCTGATTTACAAGCTATATTATTGTAAAGTTTCATCAAAATCCATTCAGTAGTTTTTGCGTGAAATAGTAACAAACATACATCCATCCATTCTTACAAACTATGCTGATAGCCTTGAGAGGCTATTTCAGTGTTACCCTAACATGTAGGTGAACTCGCGCGACTCAAATCGGAGGTGTTGCTAACACTGGCCTTAGCAAGAGCAGTGCTTCGTTGAATCTACCACCGGATCGGAAACGCGACCCACTGACAAGATCCGGCGTGAAACTCAGTGGGCTGTGTCTGAGGGCTAATTTACTCGTCGAGCCTTTCGTCGCAAGCGACGGGTTCGACGAGGACGGTAACCGGTGCTTGAGGTACCTAAAAGCACCGTTAATGGATCGGGAGGATCCGTAATGACGTGTATAGGGCGATGTCGACTGTAGCCTTCAGAACATGGATTAATAATGGTATACATATTTCAGAGTCTACTGACCGATTCCCGGGACACACACATACGCTACCTGACCTACAAAAGCCATGACAATGAATAGATTAATTACCAATATCTAATACGGTCCGAAACAAATTGCAATAGATTAATCAAAAATTGTATAAGATTTATTTGTATAAAAATGTTCAAATACATCCTCCATGTTAATGTGAATTGTAGATTAAATAGGCTAATTGCTTAATGTATATTGTGGACGACATATTTCCTTATCTATATATTAATACGTGAAGCAAAAACTTTGTATCCCTTTTTACGAAAATTGCGCTTACGGAGGAGTATGAAATTTTCCACACTTATAGAGAACTAGCGACCCGCCCTCGCTTCGCTTCGGAAACATTAAAACACACATGAAACCAAAAAAAATAAAATAAAAAATAAATAAAAAAAGTAGCCTATGTTCATCCTGGACAATGTCGGCTTCTAATGGAAAAATAATTTTTCAAATCGGTCCAGTAGTTTCGGAGCCTATTCGAAACAAACAAACAAACAAATCTTTCCTCTTTATAATATTAGTATAGATATAGAGAAGAAGTGCACAATTCTACTATTTTTTTTAAATAATGCATAAAAGATACATTAAATCAATAAAAAAAACATTTCACACACTACATACCATGTATTTGACGCAACACGCATGCATACTATATCAAAGTTTTGTTCTTGACGTCTGTTGGCAAATTGAGAATAAATTAAATATTGTTTGTCTTTGTTAATATTTTTATAGTGTAGTCTTGGCGAAATTTGTGATTATAGAAGTATAAAATACAATCTTAATAGTGTACAAACTTACAATTCCAATTAATTATAGTCGAATTTCGACTACTGCGGGACCTCTAGTTGTTATAAATTAGATTAGTTCTCATCGTAATTATAAGGAACTTTGTGGTAATATATCGATGGAACTTTGTATACAAACTCAGCAAATTAGTTGTCTTGTTAGGTCGTGCCGTAGATGGGTTATGTTGCAAGCCAATTTTTTTTTACTTATTATGGTTACCTTTTTAGCTTGCACTGTGTAAGGTGTGCTAAAAAAAAAATTAAGAACAAAAATAGCAAAAATAAATCATATATCCGAAATAAAGGGTTTCATTTCTATTGCACTTCGAAGCACTATCTCTAGCTAGAGCCAGTGTTATTCAAACTCTCGAGCTGAGCCCCCCCGCGAGCTCGTCCCCCCAATGAAGCTATAGCCCCTCGCGTCTATTGGCAGATATTTACGCAAAAAAGCAAGTTCATCTCTCTCCTTGAAACACAAAGGATAGATAACGACGAATTATCTTCGAAAGCTGCACTTAATAATGAATTTGAATTATGTGTGTGAATTTCCATATTTCAATATACCCGCCTATTTCTGCCGTGAAGCAGTAATGCGTTTCGGTTTGAAGGGTGGGGCAGCCGTTGTAACTATACCTTAGAACTTATATCTCAAGGTGGGTGGCACATTTACGTTCTAGATGTCTTTGGGCTCCAGTAACCACTTAGCACCAGGTGGGATGTGAGCTCGTCTACCCATCTAAACAATAAAAAAAAATCACCACAGATGATGTTGAAGACGATTGACATGAAAAAATTAAAATGACTTGATAAATCAATATTTTGATTTAAAAATGTTGGTTTTAAAATTCATTAATTGACATCCTTAGCAAAAACTATACTTACTTAAAATTAGAAAAAAACTGTTTGGCCCGAGGTCAAATTTTCATTTGCAATGACCCGACTATCAAAATATTTGCCCACCCCTGGTATAGACCGTGAACAGGTTCACCTGTCTCCATTATATAACATTATGCAACAGATCAACAATTTATAAAAAACAAAAATTGCACCTTTAAACATTTTTTTATGTTTTACTCCCACACCGTGCAAGTCAATTATGAGCATTTGCTTAGAGTGTATTTCATTAGATAAATCGGTATCTGTCAGCGGGATTCGAACCTCAGCACGGTCGTACAATTTTTTTTCCTGCATACGCTGATGGTCTCGGGGACCATATCAGCGTCACCGGGCTAGTAGGTGAGCTCACGGGGCTCAATAAATGTTGCGAATATAAATCCTAGCAAGAGCAGTGCCTCGCAGAATCTACCACCGGATCGGAAACGTTACCCGCTGAGAAGATCCGGCGAGAAACTCTGTGGGCTGTGTCTATGGGTTAATTTACTCGCCGAGCCCTTCGTTGCAAGCGACGGGTCGCTCGATACGAATGCACTGGGCATCTTATAACGCGAGCCGCGACGACTTTGGATTTTTTAAAATTGTTTTTCTAAGCAGAAGGGCATACGGCCCGCGTAATGACGAGTGGCACATCACATCAGCAATACTAGGGGCAGAGGCAAGTCGCTGCCTACCATTGACTACTCTCCTCAAGCCTCGTTTGAAGAAGGACATGTCATAGCGCTCGTGAAAGAAAGCGGAGGTTAACAAATTCTATACAAAACCCAAATTAGCTGATTGTTTTTTAAAAGGAATATTTATGGACGGGCTCTGTAGAAGCTTATTTTGTTTTAAATTTAGCATATAGGCCAGTGGTGCCCAAACTAGTGACCCCCGTGGGGACGGCCAGTAGCTTTTTGGGGTTCGTCAATTTTTTTACACAACGTCTGCCTATAGTGTCTATAGACATAGGCCACTCTAATTGCTCGCCACTGAGCCCGATTCTCTAACTGACAGGAGCTAGATGAGAGAAGCAGCTGATTTAGCAGCTCGTAATCTACCTTATCTAGGGGGGCGCCAAATTTTTCTCTATTGTAAGGGTCGTAGTCGAAAAAAGGTTGAGTACCACTGACATGATCCACCTGATGTTGAGCAGTTCACTGAAGGTAATCCGCCACAAGCCAAATAAAACGCGACAATTCAGTTCATATACCCATGGTTTAATCGATTTGAAACATACATCTCCAATTCAACTTTGTTAATTTCAAAGCGGCCATTAAAACTTTGATGATATACATTTTTATTTTAAATTACGGTTAAATGTTTTTAATAACACTGGACATCCTTAAAAGTGACTTAATAATTTTGATATTTATCGATAACGATACGCGGTAGGATTGATACAAGATCGAACTGAGATGACAACTGAAATAAGGGCTTACAATTGCTAAGCCATTACTGGCTGTAAATGATTCTAATCTTTCGAATTTAACTCTTAAAGTCGACAAGTTTGTGTAACAGTAAAATATGTGATATATGACATTATGCAATAGACTAACAATATATAAAACAAAACAAAAAAAACAAATTTACAATTATGTAACAATAAACATTTTTTATACAAACCTTTAACATTTAAATTGTTTAAATAAACTAGAACAAATACACATTAACATACAATGCATTCTTGGATAGCAATTAAACTATTAGAACTGTTAATAATTTGTCTATTAAATATAAATATGTATACAGAAAAATTAATTGTATACAGTTTAAATAATAAAGTATAATACACATTTATTTTCATATATTTAGGTGAGGTTCGCATAAGTAATATATTTGAGGTGCGTTTAAAAATAAAATTTGGACAGTGGAGATGGAATAGGAATTTTAATCCCTGATTCTGAACGGTATTAACTTGGTTTCACACGTGGTTCTAGCATAACACAGGAGAAACTTACATTTAAATTAAACTTTATAGTATGTATTGATAATTAGAGTGTCTCAGGGACAAAGTATTTTTATGATATATAAGATTTGTATGTTTTTTTCTACGATTTATAATATCATAAATATGTTGATTAAGTTTTTAGATATAGTCCGGCTAGTCATCGGGTTCCGCGGTGTTTATAAAAAACGAAATAGCTGGGTACAGATTTGTTTACTCCAAGCATACTATGCAGTTGTGGAAATAATGACGAAGAGAAGATCTTCTACGGAGCGGCTGAAATTGATCGTTAGACTTGCTAATTTTGTTCGGAACTTGTATATATGCAAGTAGTACACGGTAGTAAGATTTTATACTGGTCATAAAACCAGAAGGCAGTATGCGGGAAGACACCTGCCCGTGCAAGTTCACAGCCCAAGCATTGATAAACCCCTTTTTTTAAATCAAATTAGCGATTATATTCCCAAATCGCGGAACCCATTTGGAAAAATTAACCACCCGATATATTAGTGTCTCTAATGTTCACAGTTATTCACACGGTAATTGTATTCGTCGAGCTCGGCAAAGAGTTCAACGTGCAACCTAACCCATGCATCAGCCCGCTGAGTTTCCCGCCGGCTCTTCTCAGCGGGTCGCGATTCCGATCCGGTAGTACATTCATTCTCGAAGCGGCTACTCATGAGTTGTTAGGTCTCTTTTGGAGGCGCTCGGGTAGCTGTTAGCAAGTCCCACCCCTCCTGGCAGAGCCTTTGCTCGCCCACCTGTCCTGGTAAAACCGGAAAGGCCTCTGGGCCACCAGTAATCTCTCAAACCTAAAAAAAAAACAATATGCCACAGTTTTTATAATACGCCACGTTTTATATCTAATGTCTAAATTGATTACATTAAAATCTACGTTATAAGTTTATTAAATTTGATTATAAAGAAATGTAATTTTGTTTGAGGAGGGTTCTGGTGCAGTGGAATTATCAGCGCTTCATGACAATTCTCTATCTAGATAAAATATCTATCTGACAGTTTCCCGTCTATTAGGCTGTAATTAATTTGAATTTAAATCCTGTTTTTGATGGAGATACATGTATACTTATCCTTGTAAACATGTTTAGGATGCGTTTCAATGCGACTTTTTGTGCAGCCATACACGAAAAGTCTATCTAGTACGGATATGCGATGCGAAATAATAATAAATAATAATAATAATAAAACAATAATAATAATAAAACGCCAGCTGATGATGTTTCGCAGGAGACATACATCACCCAATCTGGGACCACCAAAGCGAGTAAACCAAGAGTGCGCACGAAATGGAGTGATGATATTAACCTATTTATTATGCGCACATATTCCTACATTACCGAACTAGAAACCGACAAGACAATGTACTGCAAAAGACTTCATAAATGATTCCGACATCAGTACCCTAGTTTAGACGTGTCGGATTG